TCACACACATCACATTCTCATCTTCTTCATCTGCATAGAAAAACCTGCGGCACGATCAAACAGCTCGCGCATCCTCTAATAATTCACGCGCATATCTTTGTGTCATGCTAACATAATTATGATAGGATAAAACACACAGAAGTAAATGAGTGAGACCGTTTCGGACTGAAAGTTAAAATCATAAATACGACCGATGTAAAGATATATATATATATATATATATATATATATATGTGCGTGTGTGTGTGTGTGCGTGCGTTCGTGCGTGTGTGCGCGCGTGCGTGTGTGTGTCTACTCGAGAAAAGCACGTAGTTGCATGTAGCCGATAAACCTCTCACAGTCGACGAAACAAAAGCACACAGCCGCGTACGGTTTCTCGGTGCGTACTATGCGTACTATGTACACAAAAACACGTCTTTAACGTTCAACGTGTTTGTTCAACGTTGGTGGCGTATGTATCAGTCGCGTGAATTTTTTTTCTCACTTGAGTTGCGGACCACAACCTGCGCCGTGGGCGTTGCCGTTGCGTTCGTGCGTGCCGTGCGTGCATGTATGTTGTGTGGTGTGCTGTGTGTTTGTGTGTGTGTGTGTGGTGTGGTGTGTGTTGTGGTTGTTGTGGTGTGGTGTGTGGGTGTGTTGTGTGTGTGGTTCGTGTTTGGTTGTGTGTGTGTGTGTGTGTGTGTGTGGTGTGTGTGTGTGTGTGGTGTGTGTGTGTTGCTGTGGTTGTGTGGTGATATGTGTGTGTGCTGTGGTGTGTATGTGTGGGTGTGTTCGTATTTGTGTGTTTGTCTGCGGTGTGAGCGCATGTGCGCGCTGCGAGTAAATGTGTGGTCTGTGATAGTGTGCACGTGTTGTGGTGAAGCATGATAACGGTAGAAAGCGAGAAGGCGAGACCGCACGATAATCGCGTGACTCAGAGAAGTCCGATTCACGTTAATGAACTTTAAACAGCGAGAAAGACCCCCCGAAGTCGGCGGCTAGTTAGAAACTATTGGGCTCCTTCATCGTCCAGTGACGCCATCGCATTAAGTATACAATGCACGCCCATTGACAAACTTTATAATCCTGAGCTGAGACGCACATTGTACCGCTCGAACTGTTTAAGCGCGATTAAATATTTGGCTCTGCGTCGATGACTAAGACTGCCAATGTTTGATCTTTGTCGATCGTCTTCTGTTTAAGCCTACGGGCGATTGTATAATGCGGTTTCATTGAGCTGCCACCGAGGGGAAGACCTATCTGTTTGGTAATGTAGCCCCGGGCTCACGAGTTTACACGTTGCGTTAGGCAGAGCTAAATATAGAACGCAACGAACTGCGCTTTCCTATCACCCCGTCCCTCTCTCTTGCGCCCCCTCTCACTTATCACATTTTTCCTCCTCCTTCGATCTCGCGCGCCTTCTCCTATCTTTTCTCGTTCTCCTTTCTCGCTTC